AGCGTCCAAAATGTCTAATACAACAGGGAAAGGTTTTGAAAAAGAAATAAGAATCGATCAATGCAGCTAGGACCTTTTGAAATGTTTATCTAGAAATAAATCCTATAGGAATTTGTGAAAACACAATAAGAAGGTTGACTCAAAAGACAAGTTGCGCAGTAATTATAAAAGAGTGTTTTTTTTTTAAGTTTTGCTTCATCCAAATTAACTTTAAGAACTTCAGCTGATACTTTTTTGCAATGGAGATGCATATGTTTTTTCGGCTTGTTATGTTGCGAGCATACGTCTTGAATTCCTTATGCTTCGCTTCAAAACGAAAAGACCAATAATGCCTTGGAGCTCCTGATTGCAGAACCACTGTATAATAATGCAACAGAATATAGTGTTTGGGCTTCAACGTGTCTTTGAACAGTTGAACTTAATCTTGGTGGTTTTTATTGATTATAAAACGTAGTCGTTCTGCCAAATCATGTGAAATTTCAAAAGAAAGAAGAACATCAATCAATTCTAGCAATTTCAAAAGAATCAACCATACTTCATCGTCATCCGGAATGAGGTCACCAACCATAAGAGGAAATAGGGGAAATGACGGCTTCGGCATGACAGACTATTTTCGGCAACCCAAATTGAAACACTATTTTCACTGGATTTTCTTACGAAAACACTTCGCTGAATGCATGCAAACGATTCTTTATGCTTTCAGCTTCAATTTGACTATATTTTTACCACTGAGAAAAAGCAATCTAGCAGGGTTTTCTTAAAATGAAACACACGCACTACAAATTGTAGCTGATTTCGAGTTGCCGATAATAGAACAGCAGATTAACATGCAGTTCAAATGGAACGGTTGCCGAAGAAAAACTGGTTGCCGACAATACTCGCTCTCACTAGAGAAGATTGGAGCTTTGTAAAAGCGTTTCAAAACAGTTTTTGACAATTCTTTCGACTGAAATTGTTAGAGCAGCTGGCAGCAAAAGACTGTAAACAAACCAATACTGCATATGTGTGCGTTCCATAGAGAAAAAGGCTATAGAAAGTAAGTCGCTGCTTAGGTTGCCGAGAATACGTAATTTCCCCTAGATGTATAAAACACATCATCTCTCTCGCGGTCATTGTCAAGTGGAACTTGTTTAAGTGAGCTTGGGTAATTTCAGGGGATAGGGTATACGTCCCTAACCTCGGTCTAATATGCAGCCATAGATTACGTTTTTAATCATAACTCATCAATTAATTTACCTGCAAACGATATTCTACTGCTAAATGGTATGCTTAGATATGCTTATCATGTCGTTTGCTATCAGGAACCGCAAAAAGTTGAAAAACTTACTTTTTTTAAGACAAAAACTCACCAGGGAAATGTATGTAATATCGGTCTATTGTCCCCAAATTGGGTCTATTTATGGATGCAACTTCGTCCTATCCTGTTTGATTCTCAAAAAAAACGCTCTTGGTAACGTTTTCTTATGTATTTTTTTTTATCACTATCACTGTTAACTTAATACTCTTCATTCCTCAAAACATTTCTTAGAGAAAATTTTACGAAAACTACATTAAATCACTCAAGTTAAAAATTAAAAATTAAAAATTTCGCTTATCGTCTTTCGACCGCAGAATATCTAAATCAAAACATTGTGATGTTCATTATACAGATTTGGCAGAAAAAATCTCCCTTCCTGTTCGTTCCTTATCATCCAAATGCAAACCACATTGTTGACGTTACTCTTATTGCTATATGCTGTCAAATGAATTTCATGGGCCAAAGTTAGGAACATAGAAAAGAAATGTGTCCCTAAAGTTGGGTCCATGATTTACTTGTGAAAACGTTGTTAAACAATTAAAATAAACATAAAATATTCAAACAGTAACTGTGAGTTTTACGTCTAGTGTGTATTATCAGGTAATTCCATTCAATAAATGCCATAATCAGGCCATTTGATGATCGTCAGTGCAACCTTCCCATCTTAACCTTAGAAGTCATGGCGGCTAAAAACTCCGAACAGAGTGATATTCTCAACCAGTTTTATTACTTACGAGAGCTGAAAATGTATTGAAATGTTGTGATATAAATTGATTTGTGTGTGGTACACATTTATCAATCATCAGTGATCAATATTTTCCTTATTTTTTGTGTAATATTCCTTAATTAATTATTTATTTGCGTGATAGGCCGAATGAAAGGACTAGACCCACATTACATACCGTAACCCTATATTGTCAATCTCTATTTCCCCATAGTTAAACATATGTTTACGTGTGTTCAATGTTTCTATCGTTAGATATTTGCTTGATATGAAGTATCCGATGATATGACAAATATCGTAGTGGCAGACACCCTCAAAAACGTCGTTCATTAAATCTACAGCATAGTTGGTAGTCACGTGGAAAGACTCGATAGTATTAAAAATGCATTGTTCTTTAATGCCTGTTGAACTGAGGTCATTGGCTGCTACATCTTCAGAATAATTTTGGGAGTTACGGGACAAACTCATATTATCTGTGCTCAAAGTATGCGTAGTTGACTTAGGAGTTTTGCAAAATCTGCAGAAAAACTGATGATTGAATGATGAGGTGAATCCAAGAACTTTATTTAGACCCACATTGTCTCCTATAAAAAGTGCTAGAACAAAATGAACGCTCTTTTTTTCCTTCTGATGTTTCTATGAGAATTCCATTCTCCTCTATTTCCCGAATATACCGAATTAAGGCGCTTAGACATTTCTCGTTACCGAACTCCTTGTAATCGTGTCCTTTGATAATTGCTGCCAAGTAAATTTCTGAGTTTTCTACAACCGGAAATGAATAATATACAAAAGATACAGGATCAGTATGCGTCCCAAGGGCGTTATTGATTTCAGCATCATCAATGTAAAGAAAAAACGACAAAACAATTTTTCCCGCATCAACATATGGTTTACTTTTTGCACGCCATAACGATCGATTAGCAATCGATTCCATATTTTCAAGTGTATGGAGAAGCAAGTAATTTTTCTCAAAAACTTTACGAAATTGAAATGATAGGGGTAGTAGAACTCCCGTAACATCAACCTCATCGTAGACAATTTCTCCCCGACGGTATTTTTCACCAATCTCTTTGTTGATTTCGAATTCCTCATATAACCGCTTACGTAGTCATTTTGTGAAAGCCAGTTGAACAATTGTTGCTCATTTTCACATCTGAAGAATGGATTTGATATTTCTTGAACGAGTGACGTTAACTGTAAGCGATGCTCCAAGTCATTATTATTACAATGCTGGCTCAAAAAATTTCTTACTGAGCCAACAATTGGATTGATAATTTCATTCATCACGCTTTTTTGAATGTTTAAAACATCTTTCCGAGTAAAATTGTTATTATTGTGAAGCTTAAGAGTGAATTTAATACCACTCTTGTCAATTGAAATCTTATCTTGGGGGACGTCCATCGAAGGCAACACAGATGATTGATTATAATCTGACAATGATGCTGATTCAAATATAGGTTGGTTTTGTTGTAAAAAGGGTGAAGACAATGGATCGGAGGATGGATTGCTGGGTGAAGATAGAGGAGGATGCTTTTGTGTATTGATAATTTGGTTATCGATAGGTTGTTTTTGGATGTGGCCTTTATAGTGACGAGTCAATGAACTTAAAGTACCAAACAAGGTGTTGCAATTACCATGAAATGTACATTGATAGTGATGTTTTTCAGGAAATTCATGGAACAATTTGAAATGATTTGTCATAAATCGAATTGAGTCAAAGCGAATACCACAAATATAGCAATCCATTTCTATGACTCTGATGTATGATTCTGTGTATGGTTCACGCTCACCTGAAAGTCAGATAAAATATGATATTTCAGGCATAACATTTGATAACGGCACAAAAGCATTTGTAAACCAACTTTCTAAGGCCATTTACACGCGAACCAAAGTACGCCCACGCAAACCAATACCACTTACGGAAAGGTGAGAGTTGCTCCCATCCGATGATAAAGTTGGTTTGCGTGAGCGTACTTCGGTTCGCGTGTAAAGGGCCTTAGAAAGTTTGCTTACAAATGCTTTTGTGCCGAATTGGATGTTTGTTGTATTAGAAGCTAGATAATAGCTTTTTCATAGATTTGTGTTAGTTGGGAATGTCTTAACATGGCCGTGAGGATGCAAAGAGAATTTGTCAATGTTACATAGGACCTAATGCATTGTTCAGCTTGAAATGTTAATCCAAGCAGGATTTTCCCTCTCAAATAAATAAAAAAATAAATTAAAAAATTAACAAGAGAAAATCGACTAAAAGAATCGATAATTGCAGTTAATTAAATTAATATCAGGGGAACTGGAAGACAGTTGGGCAACGCGATATTTGATCACTTCTCCAATGGATGCAATATGAAAAATACTGAGAAATCCTAATTTCCGGATGTTTTTTGTAACGTCGAAATAACCTCAAAAAAGAATACGTACGAAAAGACCATCCGGAAATAAGGATTCCTCACTGTATTTTGCACATTGCATCCATTGGAGAAGTGGACGAGAAAAAAAAAACCCTGTAACTAGGTACTTACTCAGTTTTGGCTCGTCAATTTTTTTCCTGTCTAATTTCACTTAAAACCGCACTTTTTGCAAAACTTACATTTAACATTTTATCCGATGACATGCAACACGAATGCTTCAACAACAAAATAGTGTTATGTACGAAAACTCTTTCTACGAAATAAGCGTGAGAGGATTAACGAAACAATATTTTCAGTGCAGAGATCATTGAACACCTCCCGTAGATAAATCAAAAATCATCTCCCGTGCGAAGATTTGTTTACAAACAATCCTGTTTCGAAACTCACCATGTGCAACTGGTGATAACACAATCCCAAGCACCAAGCGAAAAGAACAAAGCATTCAACTCTGGCACCTCACACACCTATCTTATCACCAAAAATTTCTTCCTCTCACAGATCACACTTTTGACTACCCGCGCGAATAATGGACACGAAAAACAATAAAAAAAACAATAAATACAGTGCTGATCGACACCTTGAGAGGAGAGTGTCTTTGAGTGGTTTCATGAAAAACGTGGCCGAACTGAATTAAATAATATCGCGCCGAATAACAAAAGGAAACATCCACTTACCGGAACGTCAAACCTAGTGCGTTAGTGATAAAACGGGAAAAGCAAAGTGTTCGCTTGAAGTGAAACTTTGACGCGATAATTTGTGTCCGTGAAATCAGCAAACACAAAGCGAATTCTAGTGTAGCTAAGAGAAAAAAAAAACATTTGTCAGCGGAGACCGTAGCGGGGAGCTTTAGTGGAAAGTTGAACCGCATAGTGAAGAGAAAGAAGAAAAAAAAACAGAGGCACCGGTAAGCCTTTATCTTTGCCAAGTTTTATGTACCAAGAAAAAGGAATAGCGACCGTTAAGTGCAATTCAATCAAAGAAGTGGTTTCCAGAATAGTTGTCAGATTGGAAGACAAAAAAGAACGGGCAAATGCGATGGCAATGATTAATGGAAACTTAATGGAATAAGCTGCATGAGAAAGGGTTTTATGCTAGTGCTTTGACAGTACATCTTATGCGAGTGACCATCTATTTGTGCTTTTTCATCAATAACTGAAACCATACAGCGATTGATTCTTCAAAAGGTAATTCTAACAAGGTGTGTTGTGTCTTCCTGTAAATGCATCCTGTTTTGTATCTGTTTTCATATCCATTAACTACTGCATTAATTACATTAATACACAATGTAGAACATTAACTACATTTCAACTCCATTAATTACAGTTGAAATTTCGTAATTAAAGTACATTAATTACATTTTCAACACTTTTAATTACATTAATTACGGAGAGATTACCGTCAGTACTACTTCAAAACGCATTATTTACATTAAGCACTTTTGATTGCATTTCAAATTCAACGCACCGGTTCTTTGAAAGATTATACTGCAGTCAATGGGAGCCTTGAGCCAAAAAAGAATTGTTTTTATTTTGGTCAAATGAGAATCAGCTTCTGCACTTTTCATACAGTCAACTCACACTTATTCGATCTCTCCCTCCGTAATTCCTTATTCTTCCTTAACTCGATCATTCTTTCAATATCAATTACAGGAGTGTTAACTGTGCAATATTTGACTATATGTGTGCGCTTGTTGCTATGGTAAAATTTTCACTCAATTCTTTTGTGTGAATAATATTGGAATATGATCGATACAGACATTTTATGTTCAAGATTACTCAATGAAAAATGCTTGTAGTATAGTCTCAAAAAGCAGGGAAAAGTATTTTCTGTAAAATCAATACCTGGTTCTTTTGGCTTCCTTAAGAATTTTAACTAAATTTATGTTTTGTATTACTTCTGCACGAAGTTAATTACAGTTTTATTATTTATTATTCATATTTTAAATTCTACAAAAGTATCTGATGTACATTCTAAAAGCGGTTTCTTGAAAATATATTTGAAATCTTTTTTCACAAAACGAAAAATTTATAGTATTTGCAATCAGTTTGCGTCTTTCTCAAAAACTCCACAGTGAAATGACTAATTCTAATGTTCGGTTACAGTTTGATTCAGAAAATAATAAAAAGTAAAATTGTCTTACGTCTATTTGTTTCTAACACATCTGCTGTCCCTTTTTCTCTCGGATAAATTTATAACTCTAATAGTGATAAGCTCCAACCGGTATTATCCACGAATTATATCCCGATCAAGAATGTCTGGCTGCTTTGATGTCGACATCAGAGTTAATTAACACGACTCTAAGCAAATATTTTGCCGACCATTCAAACAGGGACGGTATTAAAATTTAATCCGAGTTGGAGCTTACCGCCATAATAGGGGATCTGTTATTCTACTGCTAGGACCTTCAAGTGATTGTGGATAAGTGTAACTTTCCAAATTATGGAAATGTTGAAAGCAGTCTTCAGTGGACCCTACACGGTTGCTTTTATTGATAAGGTGCAGCATCGCGCTTGTGAGCAAATAGGTTTTCGTACTCACAAGAACATTCATTCTGTGCTCACGCATGCACCCAGCCAAATGAACATGAGTTCGAGTGTATGTTTAAAGTTCATGCGGGCACTTCGTTTTCTTCAGCGCTCGAACATCAATGTTTGCACCCAAGCGCAGACGCTGGTTTCTTTTTCAACATTTTGTTTTCGAGTAAACGTGTGGTGTGTGTGACGAACACGAAATATTTTAGTGGTGATTTAGTAGCGTTACCTATTCAGATATCCTTTAAATTTGTCGAACCTCTTAACGGAATCCCTTTATTAAGAGCTTTGAGTGGGTTGGTTTATTTCCTTTAAATTCCGTTATAATTGCTTATATTTTGACAGATGCACGTATTTCGTCTACTACTTGCAGACTTCATCAGTGCCAAGTAATTAACAACAGTGGTGTTGAGTACTTGGCACTGATGAAGTTCGCAAGTAGTAGACGAAATAGGCGTATCTGTCAAAAGATAAGCAATTATAACGGAATTCAAAGGAAATAAACCAACCCACTCAAAGCTCTTCATATTCAGATATCTTTTATCACAAGAAGTAATCGTTGGTAAGTAAGACTGCAAAGTTAAAAAATATATATTTCAGCAGAAGCATATTTAGTGTAGTGATCCGCGCACTACGTCGTATGGCAGCCATTTCCATCCAAAAATTCTCAAAGCAAATTGCAACTAAAAAAAAAGTTTTGTGTTGTATTGTTCGCACAATTTCTTGATGGGGGTGATTTCTATAAGAATGCTTATTTATATAAGAAAGCTCTTTATAGGTCGTATTTGTATTTTGGTCAGACTTATTTGAAATTCACTATATATTTCTTGTGTGAATGGATATACTTATTTTAATGACAAATACAACCATTGATGTACGTAGCAACATCGATTTACGGAGGCAAACATATAACATTCTTATGCGATACCAGTTGGGACACAGTGACTGCAGGGGCCTCAGATAGCCTAGTATTATTCTAAATGTTTTAAGCACCTGCTTACTTGTTTCCATAGTTATATTTAACTTTACACTATATACATTATGTTTATTTTATGGAAAGAACAGCATGTGATTTTACGTAGGGAAAATTCTCGAAATGTTAGAGGGACTGGCATTTAAACCTCAAAATTAATAACTATTAAAATGCATCTAGAACACTAGGTTGCTTGGAATACGAAAAAGAAGAAAAATTGTATGCACTATCAATGATTCTATTGTCCGCATCAGCTACGCAAGTCTCAGTTGAGCGGTACTTCTCGGCAATCAAGCTGGAGCAACATTGGCTGCGAATGTCCTCACAAATGCTCAATGATTTGTTGACTATTCGGTTCAGTCGTTATTTGTTATTTTGATTTTCAATTGATAGATAGAAACTATAAAATGAGCATATTACTTAGCAATAATAGAAGAAGAAAAAACCCACCAACCATTTTCCAAATTTGTGTGCAGCTTTTGTCCGACATTCCTTTATTTCGGAATACTGCATCCACTTCCTTTATCAATCTTTCTTTATTACTAAATTAAAATTGAACTACATTATAAACATTGCGCAATGCTTGACTGACTTTAAGTCTTTTAAAAGAAATCTTTAATTAATGATTTGCTGGCAACTGCGCGCAGTCAGAAAGATATTGGTGTTGACAATTGTCGCAAAACCGGACAAAATTTCTATTTAAATTACACACGTTAAACCCCAATTAACATCTAGTCACTCGCCAACACCAACCAACCATTCACGTAAAACCTCCGAGTGCAAGACGGTTTTATGACAGGTGGGCAGGAACTCACGGTCTCCCAGTGTTGGTGAGTTCTTTGCCGTTAATGTTCACGAAAAGTTCACTATTTTGCTATACAGAAATTCAAAACAAAAATTTTTATCTGCGGATTTGAACAGTTTTTGACCTGTTTCATACTACCGGAAGGTGTATGCTGGTCACAAATGCCGTGCCATACTGATTTCCTACTCAATTAATCAATTTTTGATGTGAAATTCGCTAATAAACACGAGGCGCATTTCTTATAGCAAACATGCCATAACAAAATGGGCATGGTTCATTTTAGTAAACAAACTAACACTTCTTCCGACTGTGGCACCTATGTAAAGGGTGATACGGTCAAAATTTGGTCAAGGGAAAACGCGTGTAAATCGGTGAAATTGTTTATTTAAAAAATCAAATTAAATTTCTTTTTCAAGTTCAATTAGTATAAAATTCAGGAAAAATATTCAGTTAGGCTTCCGCTTTTCCAAATCCGAATTGCCGGGCCTTACGCTTGACCCCTGCCATCAGATTTTGTACAGCCACCTTGTCCACCTTCTTCGCCGCAGAAAGCCAGTTTGCCTTGAACTGCTGCTCGCCCTTAGCAGTTTTTTTGGTCTTCTTTAGGTTCCGCTTGACAATAGCCCAGTATTTCTCAATTGGGCGGAGCTCTGGCGTGTTGGGAGGGTTCTTGTCCTTGGGAACCACCTGCACGTTGTTGGCGGCGTACCACTCCATGGCCTTTTTACCGTAATGGCAAGATGCCAAATCCGGCCAAAACAGTACGGAACAACCGTGTTTCTTCAGGAAAGGCAGCAGACGTTTATTCAAACACTCTTTCTCGTAAATTTCTTGGTTGACAGTCCCGGAAGCTATGAAAATGCTGCTTTTCAAGCCACAGGTACAGATGGCTTGCCAAACCAGATATTTCTTTGCGAACTTTGACAGTTTCATGTGCTTGAAAACATCTGCTACCTTTCCCCTTCCTTTTGCCGTATAAAACTCCTGTCCCGGAAGCTGCTTGTAGTCGGCTTTGACGTAGGTTTCGTCGTCCATTACCACGCAGTCAAACTTCGTCAGCATCGTCGTGTACAGCCTCCGGGATCGCGCTTTGGCCGTCGTATTTTGTTTATCATCGCGATTTGGAGTCACTACCTTCTTGTAAGTCGATAGTCCGGCTCGTTTTTTGGCTCGATGCACGGTTGTAGACGATACACCCAGCTTATTTGCGGCATCTCGGAAAGAGAGGTTAGGGTTTCGCTTGAAACTACCGGCAACTCTCTTTGTCGTCTCAGCGGCTTCCGGTTTTCGATTTCCTCCTGATCCAGACTTCCTGGCTGTCGACAAACGTTCCCCAAACACTTTAATTACATTTGTAACGGTTGATTTGGCAACTTTTAGCGATTTTGCCAACTTTGCGTGCGAGTACCTCGGATTTTCGCGATGCGCGAGCAAAATTTTGATACGCTGCTCTTCTTGCTTAGACGGCATTTTGACAACTGAAGAGTGAATTCCAAAATCAAAATAGGAGCAACATTCTACACACACACACCTTCAAAATGAGGGGTGTTCAGGTTTTTTAAATGCAAAATTGAAAGAAATACGTCAAGTTGATATTGACCAAATTTTGACCGTATCACCCTTTATTAGGCGCCGAGCTCCGAGTGCAACCTCGATGTTCGAGCACAGGCGCAAGCACGAAACATCAAGCCTGAGTTCATTTACGCTGCGCTCATCCTCAGGTGTTGTTCATTTCTCTCAAGTTCGATGTGCGTGTGTAAACATGAGCCTGAGAGAGAACACGCGCTTTGAATGAACTTGTACTTCTGAAATTTGAACTCACGCTCAGCGCCGTGCATGTTTACGTGAAGACTGGTTGAAAGCTTACAGAATATCTTATATCGGGCGACCATCGTTGGTTGGGTTCGTCAAATGGAAGAAGTAAAGAAAAGAATGCTTTAAAATCTTCAAGATCTTACTCCTTTGCCGGAACTTCAATCACTCGTGGTTTGTCGATGATGCGAGCCGTGCCGTTACCCTTTTCAACGATTCCAATAATCCATGCTTGACAGCCTTCCTGCTTCTCGATATCCTTACAGTAGGCAGCAGCTTGTTCGCGAGGCAAGCAGATGAACAGTCCTCCGGAGGTTTCCGCCGAGTGTCCGTGCAGCATCTGGAACATATTTCCACATGCCTTGGCGACTGCAGCCATCTTTGCAATCACCGGTAGATTGTGAATAACGAAGGAAACCTCATTCTTCTGGTGCGATGCAAGCGTCTGTGCGTGACCCAGCAGACCAAATACAGTGATATCGGTAGCCTCATGAGCGTTGTATTTGTGCATCAGTCGGGCTGCAATACGGTTTAACCGAGACATCGAGTCCATCGATCGGTGGTACGCCTAGCGAACATCTTCCTCGGAGACGACCAGCTTTATGCGGTTCCAGCGTTCCGATTGATTCAACCACTGATGTACATTGACGGCTACCTGTGTTCCGAGGGCCTTGGTCAAAACCAGGACGTCACCAACGATGGCATTGTCCGGAACGATGAAGTCATTTTGCTGGCAGATGGTGATGGCCACCCCACCGATCGTACTCCACGGGTTGACGACACTTTGGCCACCGGTGACGGATGTGCCTGCCTCCAGGGCTGAATTCTTGAATCCTCTCATTATGAGCGGTATGACGACATCCCGTTCCTTCTCGGTCATTTTGGTGCTGACGGCAAGCAACATCAGCACGTTATCGCACTCGGTCACTCCCATGGCATACAGATCGCTCAGAACGTTGGCGCAGACTATCTTACCCATCATGTAGGGATCGTCCAAGTTTAGATAGAAGAAATCCGTCGTCTGCACCATACACAGCCCTCCGTGACGAACCGGAATGACCGAACAATCTAGACCGATTCCGATTCGAGGTGATGACATCGACAAATATTGCGCCTCTGGGTCCTGGGTATAGTCCTGCTGCAATGAGGAGACCAACTTTTCCAGTACATCCTTGGGAACTTTACATCCACGACCAGGCATGGGAAATCATTTTTATTCATTTCGTGCATTCATTTACATTCATTTGTCTCTAACTTTTTTCTTCAACAGCATTCTTCCAAACGGTGTACAGATCTTTTGTAGGTTTTGTTATTAGCTACAATTTTTGTTAAAAAGTCAAATCCGTTTTTCTTATGCATGACGAACCAGAGCGAACAGAAGCCACTACTGTTTTTCAGTGAATGTATTCTACATTCACTGAAGAACAGTAACAAGTTCTGCCCGCTCTAGTTCATGATGCATAAGAGATACAGATTTAAAATATGAGCAAAAGTTGTAGCTAATAACAAAACCTACAAAAGCTCTATACATCATTTTGCGGAATTCCGTTGATGAAAAAAGTTAGAGGCAAATGAATGTAAATGACTGTATGAAATGAATGCCATTGATTTTCCATGCCTGGCCACGACCCTTCAGATCGGTGAAGCGCGTCAATCGGAAGGATGCTTCTAAATCATGGGCGGTCGGATCGAAGGGACGCCGCAGTACGAGTCCTGGATTTCCACCCAAATCCAAATGAGTTGGACCGATAGACTATATGTGTGCGCTTGTTGCTATGGTAAAATTTTCACAGTTAATGATTGTACATAGTTGAAATTGCTAAGTTTCAAATAGCAGACTTAAAGTGATCATTTTATACGATAGATAAGGAGATGAAAGTATAGAGTTGACAGTGTGAAAATTGTATATAGAGAGTAGAAAGCGAGCAAGGACAACTTTGAGGAAGGTACGAATCGGAATGATCATCTCTCTTTATCAAACTCAACCGTTGGAGAGGGGTTTTCTTCCTATTTGATTTTAAATATTCCTCGAATTAGCCCGGAATTTATGCAGACTTCCCCTGAAAGTGACTTCCAAGAACTGTTTTTTTTTTTAATTTTTTTTTCCGTCTATGTAAGTTTATTCCAGACTTCCTCCAGAAGTTTGTTCTGGGTCCCGGGAGATTTTTTGTAATTTATCCTGGATGCTCCTTCTGAATTCCCCCAGAAATCCTACCGACTTGTTCCAAAAGTGTCATCCGCCTTCATCCGCATGTTTTTCATAACTTTCTTGGAAAGTCTTGTCCAGCTTGTCACAAAAATATTTTCACTTTCACGGATGTTTCTTTCAACTTAGCCTGGAAGTTTTCCCTGGGAGTTCTTTTAAACTTCTAAAAAAGTATCTATAAGCATCCTAGACATTACTCTTGATTTATTGATACAACCGGTGTTAAATTTCCCAGGAATGGTTTCCTGATCCATATACTCTATTTTCATTGTCAAAGTATATTTAATATGCCTTATTATAGCTGTCTCCCAGGCATTAGAACCTGGGGGCTGCGGAGTTGTTCGATTTTATTTTGCAAGTGGAAAATGGAAAACTACTTGAACATTTTCTCAAGTTCAAAACCATTTTGCTCGATTCCCGGCTAAAGCTCTCAGACAGGAGGGCTCGAGCCCCCATGACTCTATAAAAATTTGTTTATGTACATGATGATCCTTCAAATACACTGAACATTCAACAAAATAATGAAAGTGATTCCAAATCTAATAACTTTTCTTAAGTTCTCAGGACTCTGAAGATCTGAAAACTTTGCTTATGAGGTTATGAAAATTTCCGGGGTTTCTAGTTACGTTAATTGTTCTGCCTTAAGTTCTCTGATCTTCTGTGATGTTCTTAAAGCTTGTTCTTCTGAAAAGTTTCTGCAATTTTCTTGAATTTAATGAAACAGTTCTTGAAATTTTCCTAAAATTTCTGAAAGCCCTGATACCATTGAAAGCCAATTTAAAGCATCTGAAAACATTTCCGTAGTTCTTGGATGATTTTGATTAGTGATGGAAATCAAGCGAGCATGATCCGATTTACAGTTTGTCGTAAACTGTACAGATCGTGATCTGTACAAAATACGACCAACGATTAGTCCTCTTACACCTTGAAAATACGTTGTTGCGTAGGCAACTCACAAATAACAAATACATTGTTAGACTGAGTCAAGCTCAGAGAAGTGAGTTACCCTTTTCGCTCATTATATCCACAAATCGCAACATGTGCTTATTTCACGAGACGAGAGTGAGTGTCTCTCTGTGAGAAGCATTCTTTGGCAGTTTTTTGGTTACAGAGCAATAGCGAATTTGTTTATTCCCAGGTTGGTAACAGTTCTAACCCAGTGCAAACCCGAACTTTTTTTCAGCGTGAAAGTCGACCCGTGCCAGGTTATAAAAACAAACGATCAAACTGACGTTCGCTAGAAAACAAGCTAACCCTAACTTCAAAAGCAAATTTTCATTATGTCGTAAGTAACATTCGCACCAATCCGAGAAAAATAAAGTTTTGTTTTGATGACCGAAAAGTTATTCCTATTTCCAAGTAAACACATATAATCTCATAGTGATAGCAATGTTTAACATATTTAGCAGGGTTTTAATCATACAACTGCAAATCGCTAGCTTTCTTGCTAAAAAATACTGGTTTTTGAGTCAAAAGTTATTATACGTCGTTTGGTGGCCCCTATTGTTACTTAAGTCAAAGTGTATTTACCAGGATATTCGGGAGAATTATCAATTACGTCTCCTTACGTGCAGCCCATTCATCATTTTAGGACCACCGAAATCATCTTAGCAACAAACAGTTCGATTTATTCACTTTAATAATGAGAAAGCGAAACGACGAACGTACACTTTTCACGGGTTTCTCAGCGCTGTTACTTAAGTCAAACGACATCTCCATAGAAATTGGGTGACTTAAGTAACATCGAAAACTATTTTGATCGGAAGGTGATTACGTCGAAAAGCAATTTGACTGGTAAATAAATTTAAAAATGGAATTTGATCCTATATTCGGACAGTATATAGTGTAATAGCAGGAGAATCGATTGACACTGATAGCTCTACTTTGTTTACCTTTGTTACATTCGACGTAATGAAAATTTGCTCTCAACTTGATACCCAATCCAGGTTGGAACGGTATAATAGATCAGTGTACGAAGATTTGTTGCACTCTTCTCTCACCCGTAAATTTTGACAGTTTTGGGTGGTTTGTTTTGGCTCCCATTCGTTGCCATCTCTTTTACTCAGAGACAAAATGATTGGAACCGAAAAGTGAGGTTAGGGACCGTGCACTGCTCTATAAACAAATTCGCTCTAAGCAAGCATCAGCAGATAGGTGCTGACCATCGGTAGGGGAGAACAGTCTATTATGCACCCCCGGGGTAAAATGGTGCCGTACGGGTTTCCGTTGCTTTCCCATTACTAATTCTGGAAATATCATGTGCCAGAATGTTAGTTCAAGCACTGAACTAGCAATGCTGATTGTTAAATTCACGAATTGACAATCGGAAAGCTATGAAAAACAGCGCAGGGCCATTTTACCCCAGGGGTGCGTTTTGAACCATCCTACCCTAACTTTTAACACGAAGGCTGAAACGGGGCGATGTGCGGTTTCTATAGGTGAGGAGGATACAAACAAGTCGACTCTTTCGTTCTCTCGGTTTCGAATGCGCTACGTCACATCTGTTGCTGTATTAGAACGCGATGAGAATAAAAGAGTCGACTAGCTTCCTTGTACCTCACCTGTAAATAGCGCACATTTGGCTCAGTAGTTCATCGCATAGTTCTGTCAACACGGTGAACTGTTCCTTTCTTTTTCACTCCACCGAAAGGACCAATACCGCCAACGCAACAACATGCATCTTTTCTAATTCACAGACTGAAAAAAAGCAAAAAAAAAAAATCTCGATCATTATGGCAATGATCATGATCTGATCACGGTTGTTCATCAGTTGTACATCATCCGAACAACTTCTTGTACTCAGCTGTACGCATTGAGATCTTTAGTTTGTAGCGTGCACTCACAATAAGCCTTGCGTAGTATAAGCAATGTATCGTGAGTGCACACAGCAATGATGTTGTTATCGTCTTGCTCTTTGGAGATCTTGGTAACTCACTTTTCGAAATGCTCTCTGCGTATTAGTGTTTAGAGACAGAGTTCATCGTTAGCTTATGATGATGCCAAAAAATCTTGTAGTAGGTGTGTGCGTATTCATTGATCACTAGAAGCGATTTTTTGACATCACTGTTTGAAGTTTTCAGAGCTATCCTGAAGTGAGCAGAAGTTCCTTGGAATTCTCGGAATTTCCACGAAATTCTCAAAACAATGATTCCCATAACTTTTCTGATGTTAAGGAAAAGTTTAACGACCAGAAAAAAAAACTGTTGATTTAATTCTTCTAAAATTTATGGAATTTTTCGATCGAAAATTTATGTCAACAAACATTTTTTCTTCATCATCATGGCACATAGTTGAAATAAAAAAACCTGAAAAATCAACCTGTCAATTTTGTTTAGAGTCAAAACATTTTTATGATGAAATAGCAAAAATATGTTTGCATGTATTCTTTACGAAATCCAATCCAGGAAATCCATGAAAATCTGTTTTTCCTTAGATTCCTGAGAAAATTTACATTTAATAGCTATATATGCAACAAGTTGCAAAAAGAAGATTTGTTCAACCAACGAGGCTTGTCGAAGAGTAGGACATTATGATATTCAAATCAGTGTCGGAAAGTGACACGTTTCAGTAATGAGTGCTAAACAATATGTTTTCTATCTCATCATGAAAACAAGTTGGACTCTAAACCAAAGCATTGCGAAACTATTAACTTTACAATGACAGAAACAAAATTGAAGCAATACTTCCCTTATATTTGTTTATTACAAACACGCAAAAGTAATACAATGTTAACCAGATACTGGTTTAGTCTTATTGAACACAATATTTTTTAGAAGTAAGACGTGATAATGTTTGCACCATCATACAAATAAGGTTCCCGTTTCACCTGTGCATATAATGCCTTGGTTTTCTTTGCATGCACGTAATCTATAGCTCATACCGTAGTAGGCTGTGTATAAATGAAAATGATTTACTCAAGGTGGCTACATATAGGTGTTCTAATGTGTCAAATTCATGATTCAGCCATGTTGGATTTTTGTATGGGACAGCGACCGAGTTTGTTTACAATTTGCTCTAAAACCGCACTTTTCCCCCCCGCGACCTCCTCGCCTATATAGTGACAAAGCTGTATCACCATTTATATACCCACCATGGATTTACTTATAGCGAATTCGTTTATTATTCAGTTCCAACCTGGATCGGGTATCAAGATTGGGCCTGCTTGTTTTCTGACAAACGTCAGTTTGCTCGTTTGTTTTTAAAACCTAGCTCAGGTTGAGGTTCACACTGACAAAATGTTCGGTTTCGTACTGGGTTGGAACTAGTGTTAACCCCGATAATAAACGAATTCGCTATTAGTTTGACAGTTGCAGCATGACGGAGTGGCAGCGTATTCGTGATTTGTCCCACGCGCAAATGTCGCAAAAATATATTGCAATCGCCGTGGGAGTGTCCCGGTGGACCTTCAAAAGGGTTTTTGACCGAAAAAAGAAAGGACAACTATCTGCGAAGGTGCCCACAGGTCGTGTGAGGTCAGCTCGGGTTCCGAGGGTTATCGCTGGCAAAGGAACACGGGATCAGTAACTTTACGGCACGGAAGATCGTAAAGGAAGATTGCGGGGCGAGGTCAAGGGCACGGAAGAAAACTCGCATGATTACCAACCGCATCCGGGAGCTACGAGTCGAACGATGCAAGAAAACCTTTAACTTCCTTAAGCGAAAAAATCCGGTAATCCTGTTCACCGACGAGAGCATGTTTACCGTCGATCCCGTATCAAATTCCAGAACCGACCGGTATATTAGTTCACTTCCGGTAAAAGACGTGGCCGATGAGCACAAGAACGTGTATCTGATCAAGCATCCTGGTAACGTTATGGTGTTTGGATTGGTGGTTTCCGACGGCAAAAAAAAATGACCCAGTGTTCATTCCAGCACCGCACTCGGAAGTGGTTGCAGGAACATCTTCTGTTCTGGGCGAAGGATATGTGGCCGCCATTCAGCAACGATCTTAATCCGCTGGATTACTCAATATGGCGCGTCATGAAGGCCAAGGCCTGTTCTAAACACCACCCGAGTACAGCAAGCCTCAGACAAACATTGACCCGTACCTGGAGAGAAATTGATTCAGACTACATTATTAGAACCTGCCGTGCATTCCGGAAGCGTGTGGAGGCCGTAATTGCAGCAAGTGGAAACTCGATCGATGATTAACATAGTTTAAGACTCTGAAAAACATCCCCCCTTTGAATAAATAAAAAAACTCGAAATTTTTGAGAATTTTTTTTAATTTTGACGTTGCTCAATGGTGCAAAAATTATCACGCATACGGTAAATTGTAATTTTCATTGCAACAAAACGGTCGACTCTTTACTTTTTTGCATCTGACTTACAGACATAATGACTAAGAAAAAAGGTTTAAGTAATAGTTTTTTAGAGATTTTTTTTCGGGAAATTCCATTTAAAAAAGAGTTTTTAGAATTTTCTAGAAATTATTGGAACTTCATTAAAGATCCCGTAATATTCCTGGTGTTCATGCCACTTCCACAGTGTTCTCTAAGCTGTCGAGACGAGCAGACATACCACTCGATGTGTATCACGCGATCGTCTGTCTACTCGGCAGCAACCATTGTATGGTGCTTATGGTTCTTCATATTCAGTGTTTTCGGTCGATGGGTTCGTCGACCTTGAAAAGCAACCGTTTCGTGATGGGTGTGTGAGTTAAGACCACGATCTACGTCCATTTTTGCAGTGGACGCGCTATGCCCCCTTTAGGCGGTGTTACCATACAATGAAACTACTGGAAGTGAATCTCGTTCTGATGTAGGAAGCTTTTTGGATAGCTAAAGATAAAATGTTTTTTGTATTGTATCTCATGCCTATAATTTGATGAAGTATTGCATAGTGAACAAGAAATCTCGGCACTGTAAAGTTTATTCGATTGCGCCTAGTAAAAAAATGACATTCACATTCTTTGAAATTTTCTTGACTTTATTCTTGAGGCAACTGTAAAGTTCCTGCAGTTGTTTTTATTAATCAAACGGCCTTAAATTTAAAATTAAAATCTTAAAATGTGCAAGGGATTTCTCAAATGTTTCCAAAAATTTTAGAATGCTCATGGAACTGCCATCAATTTATCAAAACTCTCCGAAAGCTATCTAACTTTTTTATAGATCTTCAAACTTATCAGAAGATTTCTAGAAGTTTTTGTTAAGTTCTCTAAGTTGATCCAACTGTCATGAAGATCTCTGATCTTCATCAAGCTTCTAGAAGGAAGCTGGAACTGTACTGAACTTCTTTCTTTTAAAGATCTTTAAACTTCCCAAAGTACAGGTCTTTCATATAGTCCTCGGAACTTACCTGAATTTTTCGAAACTTATTTGAATATTTTGAATATTCCTTAAAGTTCTTCGTACATCATAGATCAATATTTTTGCACCCAGCTAGTATTTGATTTTTAAAATATCAAATCGATTTGCGGAGCATGGAGTAACGAAAAGTAACCACCATGTCAGATCTGAGTACAAATATACAAGATATATCGCTTTTACTTGCAGCCTACAGCTTTTAAGGTTGGCAGTTGGTCTGAGTGCGTATGGCAAATAACTGTTGAGCACTTTGCTTACTGTTTCACTTTTTGATTGGCTGATTTTTTTTTTTTGCACTTTCACTTCTGTTCTGTGTAGCGTTTAAAAATATTTCAAAACCAATACTCGTTGGGGGCTGTTCATAAACTACGTAGACAGTTTAGGGGGGGGGGGGGTGACAATTAGCCATAGCCCATACAAATTTAAAAACATTTATATGGACAATTGTCTACGCAGGGGGAGGGGGGGTAAATAATCCAAAAAAACTGTCTACGTAGTTTATGAACAGGCCCTGACAGTGCTTTTTAAAATTTTAAAAATATTTAACATCAAAAATTTAAATTACACACTTATTTTTTCAACCGAGCTCGGCTGTGCAAATCTCGGCAAAAATAAGTCTCACTGAGATCTCAACAAAAGTGACATTTGATTGCTGAGTCTCGGATAATGCTAAGCGGAATCTCAGCAAACAAATGTGTAGATGCTGCATTTTTCAAATGATCAGTTCCAAAAATACCAGTATTTTCACATGCCAGTACCGGTATTTCGGTACCAGAATATCACCCGGAATCACCGGTAAAACAAAGCAAAGACGAGTAAACACACAGGCATAATTCCGAACATTTCAATGACTAGCAACGTTCTTGAAATATCAAAGAAAGATCTCAGTGTCTATACTGGTTTGATAACAGGACATTCCATGTAAATATCATTTGAAGCTAATAGGAAAACTTCAAGAGGATATGTGTCGATTCTGTGGCATAGAAAAGGAAGACTCTGAATACCTCCTATGCTCTTGTGCAGCAATCTTCAATTTCTGGATAAGGGGCTGGCAGAACCCTTTGATATTTGGAATGCAGGTCCCAGTCAAGTGGTACATTTCATTTGAAATGTAATACCTGGCTGGGAAAATGCTTTTGGTCAGTCTATGTGGTCGCTTCACAAAATAGCATTACGACATAACTTATAAAGCAATATAAAAACGGGGAATATCACAATAGATCAAAGTATTGGTCACAGTGATAAATATACCCAAGGCGGAAAAAAAAACACACGCATCTGAGCTTAAGCTATCAGCTTGTGCTAATGAAAAATGGGCTCTCCTGCAAAATGTGCTTCTAATCTAAAATTTATAAATTTTAACGGTTTGTTTGTAGAATAAACGGATAACGGATTTACTTTCCTTCCGAAGGAGGACGTGACCAGAGATTTTTATGCCTCAGAAAAATACCACTAACCTCGGCTAGGATTGAACCCAGACGCATCAGGGTGAGAAAGCTTAAGTTTCCATTGATGTTGGAACTGTTTATAATTGAATGAGCTTATCTTGTGCTTATTTTGTGATCTTTTTGTGCTTTACTTGACCGCTTTTACCGACATCGCACGTCTCTCAAAATGTGTACATGGTCTCTAGCGCTCTAAAATTGAGTGAACTAGACTAATTATCTACAGCACAAAGATTTTGTGAGCACAGCTTTAAAATCTATCATTTAAAATTATTCATCTTTAATAAACACCCATCAGACAATCCTGGCTGCGCCATTGGCAATATTCAAATTAACAACAAACCGGTTTATCGGTATTCAATGCTCGACAGATTCGGTCGATAACACAAAAAAACCTCATCCCAAACGAACTAAAAAAAGTATTACTGCAAATCGGTGGTGCAGCAAAACAACTTCTAGCAATAGTATCGGTTGAACGAAAATTGCATTTTTCCAGAAAGTTTCACGTGATTCTACACAATCTTAACGAAGTCGAAAACTAGAAGCAACAAAAAAATACAGAAAAGCTACCCTCAAGATAGATACATAACATTTTATGTTTCGCCACATGCTTCCTACCAACGAACCAGATCAAGCTCTAAAAATAGAGAAACATTTCCCGCTTGGAAAATGTCCACAACTGGACACATTGCATTTGATACTGAATGCTCTTGCTGTGGTAAAAGTGGGAAAGATGGAATGCAGGTCAGATTGAAAAGTTTGCCATATGTTGCTGCATGCAGGATTTACGGTGACGTGCTTTAGACGAACAAGAAGTTGGAAGCTTGCTCGGATACCATTCCATTTCCGAAAAGCTTCCAAAGATTACTGAGAAAAAAATCACTTCCAGCATTACAGCACCATTTTCGTTTCCCCGGAAAGGCCAACAAGCTAGCAATCACAATGTCACAAATCCCACAAAAATATAAAGCACCTTTACAAGAAGTAACACATCTGTTCGATGTTTTCTCTTTCCTCCCTTGCACGGTACAGGTAGTCAACCCAAAAAGCAGATACTTCTGAAGCAAGATGAATCCGATCCCACGAGAACGAGATAAGTCGCACACAACGACCGAACGATCGGCGTGTAGTTCCTCGAATCTGCTACACGCCCTATCAGACGACAGCGAAATCGAGTGCCTCGAGGAGAATGTCGTTGTAAGTATGTAATTTAGTATTTCATTAACTCCGGTGGTCTGTGTTCGGTTGATTACGGGTCCTGCTGGCCAAGCTTCAAGGTAACTGATGTACAATATGGAAGTAACTAACTAGACTTATCATTTACTCGTAACCTTCAAATATTGATAAACTTATTCATGGTGGAATAGATGTTGAAGGCATCGCCTTGTGAATTCTTGCGTACAACATTTGGCAAATTCGCCTATTGCGGTTACTATTTTGATATCTTTAAATGAATATACCAGCATTTATTAATTTTAAGGTACGACCCAGGAGGGCTGTTAGCGAATCACTTTTTAGTGACTTGGTCACTTTTTTAAGGCCTAGTCACTAAAGCCACTTTTTGTTGTAATCAGTCACTATTTCAACTTTTAGCGTAAATTTATTTCAAGATTATTCATTCTTCTTGCAGAGTGTAGGATCTGATAGTCATTTTCAAATAATTTGAAGGTGTGCTGCTTCTATAAAGCTTTTTGCCGTTTAATTATCTACAGGGTGTCAGTTAATTTGGCTAAATAAAATTCCTTGAGTTTTCCAGAAGTTTGACAGATAATTTTCAGGTTAATAATAATAAAGATATGTTTAAAACGTTTTAAAAAAAGGCTTTTCGTAAAACAACAACAACAACAGAAAGCAAACGATTTTTGGACAGCCCTGGCAGTTCTTAAAAACAGCTTGATCGCGCACGGTAGGACCCGATTTTCTACGTTGTGTTATAAAGATTAAAATACGATGATGATTTGGGTCGTCCTGCCATGGCGGAGGCAGACAATACTGTGTGTGTTTATTGTATAGAGGACATGGTATCAATTAAATTGCAATCTGGACAAAATGACAGTAACATACATAATTGAAAGATGACATCTGTTGGTAAGAGTATTAACTATTCCACAGTTCAGGGTAAAGGCGGTAAATGTCGCTTGCGCGAACACAGCTTTACAATCAAATCCATTAAATATTGAAGTTTGATACTTACTTAATTTTAGTTAGTCTAATATCTCAAAATATTCAATGTTTTGAAATTTCGTATTTCATGTTTTCCAAAATTTTCAATGTGCCAGCCAACAACCACTAACCTTACAACTTCACAAAAATCCAGAGATTGTCAGGAAAGTTTAAAAGTGTTAAATCTATGGAACTTAAGTGAAAATCTGAGAACTTCAGGAACTTTCATGATCTTTAGCAAATACCGAGAGCAATTCAAACAAGCTGAGTGAGCCCAAAAAAGGAGGAATTGCGGAATATCAGTTTCATTAATTTTAAAAAATAGCGGTAAATTTTAAGAAGTTGAGCATTTCCAGCCCAAAACGCAAACCGGTTGGACATGAGTGTTTTCGATTTGAATGAAACATAACTTATATGTTTGCTGGTATATGTTGCATTTTTCGTTTCAATATGATGTTGGTCTTGACAGCAACTTTTGGAAAGGGCGTATTAAAAAAAATGGAATGTATTTTTTTCAAAAAATCATAACATTAAAAATTATGATTGTGTGTGTGTATGTGTGTGTGTGTGTGTGTGTGTGTGTGTGTGTGTGTGTGTGTGTGTGTATGTGTGTGTGTGTGTGTGTGTGTGTGGTGTGTGTTTGCGTGCGCGTGTGTGTGTGTGTGTGAGTGTCTGTGTGTATGTGTGTGTCTCTCTCTCTCTCTCTCTCTCTCTCTCTCTCTCTCTCTCTCTCTCTCTCTGTGTGTGTGTGTGTGTGTGTGTATGTGTGTGTGTGTGTGTGTGTGTGTGTGTGTGTGTGTGTGTGTGTGTGTGTGTGTTTTATTTTTTTTTTTTTTTTTTTTCTTTTGGCAAGGAGGAAACCTTCAAAAAGGCCATCGTGCCACCGCTTGACGACTGGGCGCACAGTCGCGGTGACACGGTGTGTGGGATTCTTACCGCACTAAAACCTCCTTAGACGCCTTGCCCTTTTCCCCCGGAACCACTTGTCGTATTACTTCGGAGGGGGCCGTGCATTACGCACCTCACTTTACCTCAGCTAATTGGCGCTTCCAGTTCGCTGATCGTCTCTCCAATTTGTGAGCCATTTATCGCCCAGCGTCACGTTCTACTCGGTTATCCCTGGTGGTGGATACAGCCTACTCTGACGGAGAGTTCTCCCGGCTTCGGCTTTCAGTTCGCACTTGTGTGAGCACATTACTACTTTCTAGTTGGTCTTCCCGCCATTTTCGCTGCAGCGCTGACATGATCTGCGTTATTGCTCTGCTGACGGCGTTAAAGGTGCCCTCCTCTCGACACATTTCTTCGACGACATTCTCCGTGCTAAGGGCGAGCATATCCTCTCGCACATCATCAAATCTAGGACATTCGAAGACCACGTGCTCTGGTGATTCTTCCACATTCCCACACTCCGGACAGAAGGGTGACGTTGTGTGTCCGAACCGATGCAGGTACTTCCTGAAGCAGCCATGACCAGACAGGAACTGCGTCAAGTGGAAGTTGACTTTTCCATGCTTCCTGTTCACCCAGGTCGAAAGAGTCGGTATTAGCCTGTGTGTCCATCTACCGTTCTCTGCTGCATCCCACTCCTGCTGCCACTTAGCCATCGACTCCGTTCTCACCATTTTTCGTACTCCTCTGGTTTCTCTCGTCATATAGCACTCGTAGTCCTCCGCCAAGGTGATGCCGATTGGGATCATACCGGCGATAACGCATACTGCCTCCATCGAAATGGTTCTGTACGCACTCACGACTCGCATGGCCATGAGCCGGAACGTACTGCTCAATTTCCTTTGGTTCTGCTTCGTTTTCAGCGCTTCAATCCAGGCTGGACCTCCGTACCTTAGTATTGATGAGGAAACACTAGCCAGAAGACGTCTCTTGCTGCTGCTTGGACCAGAATTGTTCGGCATGATTCTGGCTATTGCGTTGATGACCTTCGTCGCCTTCTCGCAAGCATATTCGATGTGGCTATTAAAGTTTAGCCGGTCGTCGATCATCACTCCCAGATACTTAAGCATGCGCTTCGAAGCAATGGTGTGCTCTCCAACGGTAATTTCTGCCCGCTGCACTGCTTTGCAGTTACTGACCAACATCACTTCTGTTTTGTGGTGGGCTATCTGCAGCTTCGCTCCTTGCATCCAGTTACCAATCGTATCTATCGCCTCAGCCGCCAACATTTCCACTTCTTCCAGCGTCTCACCGGTTACCGTCAAGACGACATCGTCCGCAAAGCCAACGATCTCAACTCCTTTGGGCAGCTTGAGCGTCAGCACGCCATTGTACATTCCGTTCCACAGCGTGGGACCTAGAATGGAGCCTTGGGGAACCCCC